GACTTTAGTTTGGTACGTTTGCACAAAATAAAAGTTTTGCAAATTCCCATTTTTTTTTGGGGGGGGGGGGAGGGTGGGGGTGAGGTTTACAACAACAACTTGCACTTATGCCGCGCCCTCCACCCAAGGGTAGCGTCTCAGAGCGCTTAACGGCGACTGAGCCTGACTCCGAGTAGCTTTTGGTGTGGTGAGCAGCTCGAAAGGTAATAACAAGTCCACCTTATACGGGCACAGCGTCCTTGACATTGAAAAGAGTCTCAAAAGCATAGATGTAAAGTAGGAGCATGAGAGAGGTGAGATAATGAACAGTAATAATCCCGGCATTTGCCACAGCGCCTCATCGCGTCGTCGAGACGTCTCAAAGCGCTTCACAGGACATACTGCAAAGTGGAGTGACTGTGTACTTTGTGGACGGAATGCAGCAGCATCCCCACAAGCAGCGCGGAATGAGTGACCAATTAAGAACTTTAAGTCAAAAACAGAAGCAGTACTGTGTTTAAATTTATCGTCATTGCCTTGTGTTTTTCCCCCTGACAGTTTCCATTCCAGCAATCTCTCTCTCTCTGGGATTTCCGCGTGTGGGAGGGTGGCGTGGAATTCTCTGCTTGGTTTGGAGACTCTCAAGCAACGGTGATGGGTTTCCGCGTGTGTCAGACCGAAAAGAATTGCATTTTTATTGGGATCTTTGGGAACGTAGAAACATCTCAAAGTGCTGTACGGTAATTGCAGCCAGATGTGATAATAATAATAATCCTGGCATTTGGTACAACGCCTCATCACGTCTTCGAGACGTCTCAAAGCGCTTCACAGAATACACTGTAAAGTGAATTCACTGTATGTATTTTGTGGGCGAAACGCGGCAGCCGATTGCACACAGCAGCGTCCCCACAAACAGTCGTGGATTGAGTGACCGAATTATTATTGTTTTTTTAATTTGAGGGATTATTAGCTCCGGAAAGCGATCCGCCAATCGACTAAAAACACTTACTGCTGGAAAAATAGAGGCGTGTGGAGCAAGGAAACCTGCTGATGACGGTTTCTAGGCAAATGAATGCTGTTATTGTTGCACAGAGCAACGTCCCACAAAGAAACATGAGGTCAACGGCCAATATGATCAGGAGGATTCTTGGCTCGGGTTCCGGGAAAAGCCGCTTTTGTGTGTTTTTCGCCTGAATATCAGGTCACTCGCTTTCTGGCTGCCGGTGGGACATCGGTAGGTCATCAGCAAACTGCGTTCACAGTCACTGCGCCCGACAGCGGCACCTGCGGTGGTGTGTCTGCGGGCGTTAGATAACGCTGTCACGGTGTTGTTGTTTAACATTGAGGCAAAGAGCGAGCGAGCCGCGGTACAGGTGCAAGTTGTTGTTGCGGTGGGTGGCGGCGGTGGCGGTGGCGGTGCAACGGTGGCTTCCGCTGCTGTTGGCTGCCTCGCCTGTGTCTGCGCGATACTGTCAACGCTGTCAGCGTTAATGCCGTAGTGTAGCTGCCGCCGCTGTTAGTGTTAATGCTGTCGGCTGCTCTGCTCCGCTCTGCTGCTTTGCCTGTGGCTGTGTGTGCGTGTGCGCGTGCGTGTGCGTGCGTGTGTGTGTGTGTGTGTGTGCCTGTGTGGGCTGGTGGCATGCAGGCAGACAGGGTTCGCTCGATTCTCACGCCCTCTCAGCTCCCCAGTGTCATGTGGGGACTGAATGAGTGTTGAGAGCTTGCCAAGAGCTGGGGAGTGCGGGCCAGTGGCCACAAGGCAAGCACACAGCCAACAACAGTGCGTTGTCTCTCTCTCTCTCTCTCTCTCTCTCGCTCTCGCTCTCTCTCTCTCGCGCCTCGCCTTTCCTCCAGCAACAAGCGCACCGCCCCCGGCAAGAGATTTAAATAAGCATTTCAGTGTCTTCGGTCACAGAGGAAAAAAAAGAGTCTTGGAATGGTTTCACGACAGGCAGCATAGTTTAAATTAGCGATACTGTCTACAGACAACAACTTGCAGTCACACAGCCAACCTCTCCCAAGACATAACAGCACCGGCGCGAAAGGAACGCAAAATATCTTATTTAAAGTCAGAAGAGAGGGGGGAAAAAAAAATCACACACCACTTTTACCATCCCCAATAAACCCGCAGGTAACGCCCAGCCATATTTCCCGTGTTTTCTTTTAAAAAGATACCTTCATTAACCTTTCTAAGACGGACAGCGCAAATATTGGAGGCACGTAAATATTTAAAGTCAGAAGCAACGAACAACGCTTACCTTTCCCCATATCCTCATCACCAATGAATCGCAGAAACATCGGGCTTTTATTTTTTGTGTTTTCTCTGAAAAGGAAACGGGTTTAAACTGTTGACAGAACCTTCAAGACAAATGGCGCAAATATTAAAGGAATGTTAAATATTTTAAAGACAGAAAAAAAAGCAGTATATACATATAAAAGTAAATACACCAAATATATAAAAGGTAACTTTTATTGCATATCCCCATCCCCAATAAATCGGATGTATTACATTTTCCTGCATTTATTTTTAAAAGGCAAAAAATAGTTTGGAGTGAAAAGAATCTTCAACACTGTAAAAAGCAAATAGTTTATATTTTTTTCCTTTTGAAAGTGAAGTAAAAGATTTTATTTCAAATCGCTGTCTTGGAAAGAAAGTGATTTTGATATAATTGTTAGTGTTACTTTTAACGTCTCGGAAAGAAATGATTTGATAGGGTTTTTGTTTGTGTAGATTTAAAAAAAACGAGAAGGGAAACGTTCAGTTTAACTTCACAACAACCTGCGTTTAAAAAAAACAACAAATAACATCTTCGACCGGTTATTAAGTGACTACTGTTTTGTGCATTATGTTTCTTGTTACGTAATATATAATATATATTATCTTTTTGTTTTTCTCATGGCTAGTTGTTTGCAAAAGCAGCTGCGGGGTAGAATAAACTAGAGAGGGCGAAAGAGAGAGAGAGAGAGAGAGAGCGGGGTTTATCTATTTAATTCTCCCTTCTTTTTTTTTCCCCCTCCTCCTCCTTTTGCAGGCACGAAATCTGCCTCGCTGCGTTGCGGGGTTAAATGTGCTGCGTGAGGCCGGTGGGAACCAGGGGTTTGGCTGTAACAGGAGCTGAGCTGTGTTGTGTGTAATTGGAAGCAAGCGCGCACAAGGTTTTAAGCAGAGGGCAAGGCACACGGCTGGCCTCACGCCTCAATTGCCTCTCAACCCCTTTCCAAGGCGTCTGACAAGCACCAGCGCCTCCCTCCCTGACAGCGTCTGTCTGTGTGTGTGTGTGTGTGTGTGCGTGCGTCTGTCTGTCTGTCTGTCTGTCTCTGTCTGAGCTCTCATCGCCTCCCCCTCGGTACCCATCATATCACATAAATACCACATTTTGCCGCGTTCGCCCACCAATATGCAGTCAATTCACTTTACAGTGTGTTCCGTGAAGCGCTTCGGGACGTCCTCCCGACGTGAAAAGCGCTATATCAAATGCGAGGATTATTATTATTATTATTATTATTATTTTCGCCCGCAAAACGCACAATGTCGCTACACGCCGCGGTATACGCTGCGGAGCGCTTTGAGACGGGTCGGTTCACTGACGTGATAAGGTGCTGTATCAAACGCGAGGATTATTATTGTATTATTATCACGCAGGGCGACCAAAAATCAGGAAACCATCACAATGTCCCAATAAATCATATTAATGAAATTATATATATATAATTTTTTAAGACGATAAGGGTAGTTATCACGACTTGAGGGTCACCCTGTTTTATACCCTCGAAATTAATTTAACTTGCCCTTGAAAGTTTTTTTAAAAAAAACTCCTCTCTCTCTCTCTCTCTACATATATATTCATTTATATCAATTGGAATTTGTCGCACTACTCTTAAAAATTCAACCGACCGCGCAGCGCAAGGTTTTCCCCAGAGTAAATTAATTAACACTTCATTAAATTAACAGGTACGTTCTTTCTTTTTTAAAAAAAAATATATATATATGTTAAAAAAAGACATGTATAGATTAAAAAAAAAACTCCCCCACGGTTTGTAGAATGGCAAAGTTCCCCTTTTTACGTGCGCCAAACGCGCCGAGTGTTACAATCTGCTGAGTTATTGACTCCGGCTCTACGTTTCCCAGGCACATCAAAGGGGTGTCTGCCACGGCGAAAAAGCCCGCTGCATACTGGATGAGACAGACCCCCTTTGATACTTCCCTTTAATTGCTTTTATTCAATGGGGGGATAAATTCTCCCGCCATTTAGTCGGCTATTCTATTCCATTCTATTCTATTCTGCGGGACAATTGTCATGGTGTTTCCCGCCTTTTTGTGATTTCGTGCCCTCAGATAAAACATGATATGTTAATGCGAGGAAATCACCCCTCGTACAGTTCAGGGGCAGATGGTACCCATTATCTGGTGGAATTTATTGTCCCGTTCCCTTTTGAAGAGTTTTCTTTTTAAAACAAAAAATAACGTTCCACCCTCCCTGGGGAATAAGGTTTATCAGGACGAGACCTGGTGAATGGAAACTTAAAACGTGGGAAACGTACTGAAACACTTCAAAACTCCCTTAAAACTTGCCCCATTCGTCGAGGTGTTAACTTTTGCTTTTAACCTGATCCACGAGGGCTGGATTTGAGTGTAGCATTTTAGACGCTTAATGAACAAGGGATGTGGTTTAAGCGTCTCTCACCCCACACTCCAAACCTTGACCAGAATTATACCACGAGCCGGATTTTTTAAAAAAAAAATTATTATTTTCGATCCCCTTTATCGGTTTCTACCTGAGCGAGGTTCCAAAGAAAACTGTGGACACGATTATTTCTCTATATACTTTTTTTTATATATATATATTTTATATACAGATATAAAAAAGTTTTATTCCTGCGTCAGAAAAAAATAAAGGCAAGTAGAGACAAGTTTACAAAACTTTGGTATCATCGCACCCTCATGTCATTAACAGGTTACAAAAACTATTTTAACGAAGTCTCCCGGAGTAAAATGATTGGGGTTTTGTTTTTTGTTCCGTTTTCGTTTCTTTTTTTTTTAATTAGGAAAATTTTCACTTCAATTTCAAGAGATCAAAAATGTACAACATTTACAACGACAAAAAACCATGACATTTGTTTGAAGCGCCTCTCACGGCGCGAGGACATCCCGAGGGGTCGCTGGACAGTACAGTTACATCCAAACAAATAAATAAATAAATAAGTTTCTTATGAAGATAAGTACAATTGTCCCGAACAATGGAACATGTTTTGTTTAATATATATCTATATATATATATAAAAAATATATATATATGTATATAAAAAGTCTCATGACTTCCTTCCTGATCACCAGGGTCTCCAGACGGATTCGACGCGGTCGGGGCCTGTGCTGAGAGCTAACGGACTGTGCGTCTGGGAGACCGGCGAGCAGCTGGTGCCAAAAGGCACGGACGTCAAGCCGTGGATGGGAGAGACGGTCGCGGGGTTGGAGGGCAAGGCGACGGAAGGGCTGGCGGTGGCTGGGAGGCTGGCGTTGGAGTAGAGGGGTATCAGAGGACCCGCCGCCATCTGCCCGCCGGAGGAGGCGAAAGCCGGGTTGGGAATCAAGAAGGCGAAGTGCCCGTCCGGGGCCGGCACCAGCTGGAAGCCCCCGTACACCTTGGGCGAGACCCCTTCGGCCGGGCTGAGCTTGCACGGCACGGTGACCCCGGCGTTCAGGGGCACGCTGGCGGGAAGCTGCACGTGCAGAGGCTGGGCCAGGTGCCCGCCCGGCCCCGGTGGGGAGTTGACGGCGGGGGGCTGGGGGTAGTTGATGGCCACCATGTGCCCCAGGCAGCTCGACAAGTGGCCGAGGAGCCTACTCCTGATGTCTGCGTTCACACCCTCGCAGGTGGACAGGAAGCGGGTCACCTCGTTCATGCACTCGTTAAATCCCGCCCTGTATTTGCCCATCACTGTCGGGTCAGCGGTCAGAGCAGCTTCAACAGGAGGAGAAGAAAAAAAAGGAAATATTTTAAAGATGCAATAATAATAATATCATCATCATAATAATCCCAGCGTCTTATCACGTCCACGAGACGTCTCAAAGCGCTTCACAGGATACACCGTAAACATAACAATAACAATAAATAATAATCCTTGCATTCGATGAAGCGCCTCATCACGTCTTCGAGACGCCTCAAAGCGCTTCGCTGAACAGACTGTAAAGTGAATCGACTGTCTATTTTTGCCGGTGAAACGCAGCAGCCAATTGCGCGCAGCAGCGTCTGTCCCACACGCGGTCGTGGATCGAGTGAGCAAATTATCATTTAATTTTTTCTTGGATTTTATCAGGCATTTGGAGTACAATAATAATAACATTGGATATAGCACCTTATTGTGTATCAAGTGAACTGATTGTATTTTGTGGGCGAAACAAGAACACAATGAGACTAACTATTAATTTTTAACCCCCCCCCCCCCCGCCCCAATCCAGGAAGTTCCTAACCTCGGAGAAGAAGCACCTTCTCCCCCCCACTCCCCACCCCCACACACAGAGATAAATATGATTTTATTTTAAAAGGAGCGTTTTTGTTTTAAAATGTCTTTTTTTTCCCCCCGTTCAAGGCTTCAGTACTCACCGGTCATTTGGACACGTTGGAGGTTTCTTAGATGTTTCACAGTCATCTCCAGGATGTCAGCCTTCTCGAGCTTAGAGTGTCTGGAGCTCTGAAGGTGACGAGAAAAGTCCAGAACAAGTTTATACACAGACATATATACACACACACATATATATACATAAACACACACACACATATATATATATATATGCACACACACACATTTGTATTACACTGCATTTCTCGCTCAAATCACTTCAGTCTATCGATTGCAGAAATTCCTCTTGAAAATAAGACAAAGTTTGGACATTTCTCTTCCTCTTCACCCCCCACCACCCAAACCCCCTCTTCCCCCAACCAAGCAAACACCCTGCTCATTCCCCGCCAACCAAACAGCCCCTCCACCCCAATCGAACCCCCTCTTCCTCCCCAACCAAACCCCCTCTTCCTCCCCAACCGAACCCCCTCTTCCTCCCCAACCGAACCCCTCTTCCTCCCCAACCGAACCCCTCTTCCTCCCAACCGAACCCCCTCTTCCTCCCCAACCGAACCCCCTCTTCCTCCCCAACCGAACCCCCTCTTCCTCCCCAACCGAACCCCCTCTTCCTCCCCAACCGAACCCCCTCTTCCTCCCCAACCGAACCCCCTCTTCCTCCCCAACCGAACCCCCTCTTCCTCCCCAACCAAACCCCCTCTTCCTCCCCAACCAAACCCCCTCCTCCCCCCAACCGAACCCCCTCCTCCCCCAACCGAACCCCCTCTTCCTCCCCAACCGAACCCCCTCTTCCTCCCCAACGAGACCCCCCCCCCCCCCACCCCACCAACCAAGCACTCCACCCCCAACAACAACATTTCTGCTAAACTTACATCTTTCTTCAGGGCATCCAGGATGAGGGTTTTCAGTTGCCCTAAGCTCTCGTTGATCCTCGCTCTGCGCCGTTTCTCCATGATGGGTTTGGAAGACTTTGGGGTGTAAAAAAAATAAACACAAAATTGAGCCTATATCGCCAAGATTTTTTTTTTTGGGGGGGGGGGGGAGGAGGGAGGTGTGGGGGGGGGGGGGGAGAGGGGGAGTTAAAACATTTAGTTTTTTCCCTTTTTAACCCCTCCACTCTACCCCTCTTAACCCTTCCACTTCCCCCCCCCTTTTTTAACCCTTCCACTCCCTTTTTTTAACCCTTCCACTTCGGCCCCTTTTAATTCCCCCCCCCCCGTCCCGTCCCCCGACTTTCCCTTTTTTTTTCCCTTCTCCTTTTAAACCCCCCCACCCACCGCCACCACCACACGCACCCTCCTTTTTAATTTCCCTCCCCCCCACCCACCACCCGCCAACTTTCCTCCGGAAATCCGCCGACAGGTCGGGGGCTTACCTTGCGGTGCTCGCTGGCGCTCTTGGGTTTGTCCGGGGTGTGGGGGGTGCTGGCCAGAGCCCCGACGTTGGGGGAAATGGAAGACTTCTCCATGGGGTCGGCGGGCATCCCGACTCCCGGACGACTCCCGACGCGACTTCCTCACGACAATCTCTCTCTCTCGCGCTCTCTCTATCGCAACGGTCTCGTTACGGTGCTGTGCGCGTGTACCCCCCCACCCCCTACACCCCGATTCTAGAAACAATTCGCCCCCCTTCTCCCCCCCCCCAAAAAAAGTGTTGTTGTTGTTGTTCTTTTTTTAATTTTAAAGTGTGCGGCGGCGGTGGTGGTTTTTTTTCTCTCTCGCAACGACGAACAAAACCGAAACGCACACCACCGCACCACACGAGACGCGGAAAAAAACAAAAAACAAAAACAAAAACCCCAATTTCTTTTTTTTTTAAAAAAAAAGAAAAAGAAAAAAGGAATAAAAAAAAGCAATGGGGACCAGGAAGAAAAACTCGAAAAGTTAAAAAAAAATAAACCCCAGAAACACACACACGGAGAGCGAAAAAAAAACAACAACAAAATCACTATTATTGTTGTTTCGTGTCGTACGATATAAATGTATATCGTATCTCTCTCTCTGTATATATATATATATTAAAAAAATCCCCTCACTTTTTCTTTTTTTTTGGGGGGTCGCCCCCCGTCTCACGACCCCCACACACCTGAGCTCTCCCCCCGCACAGCCCGAGCTCTCCCCCCGCACAGCCCGAGCTCTCCCCCCGCACAGCCCGAGCTCTCCCCCCGCACTCTCCCCGCACAGCCCGAGGTCTCCCCCCGCGCTCTCCCCGCACAGCCCGAGCTCTCCCCCCGCACAGCCCGAGCTCTCCCCCCGCACTCTCCCCGCACAGCCCGAGCTCTCCCCCCGCGCTCTCCCCGCACAGCCCGAGCTCTCCCCCCGCACAGCCCGAGCTCTCCCCCCGCGCTCTCCCCGCACAGCCCGAGCTCTCCCCCCGCGCTCTCCCCGCACAGCCCGAGCTCTCCCCCCGCAGCCCCGGCGCTGCCTCACTGCCTGTCGGTGTGTGAGTGAGTGACTGTGTGTCGGTGTGTGTGTCGGTGTGTGTGTGCGGGTCGCGGGCCCCGCCGGTTGCCTGTGGTGCCGACAGCCCGCGCGGCGCCTGTACTTATACCCTCACACACCCCCCCACACACACCCCACCCCCGCGCCGCCGCCGCCGCCGCCCCCCTCCCGCTCGTGTGAAACCTTCTCGGGATTCTTTCCCACACTCGCGGCAGCCAATCGGCGCGGAAAGGCGGGACCCGCACATCGCCATCAGCTGTCGGGGCGGCGGCCCTCCCGCCCTCCCGCCCTGTGACTGACCGCCTCACCGGCCCCGCCCCCCCCTCACTGCCCCCCTCACCCCCTCCTCACAGCCCCTCACCCCCTCACTGCCCCCTCTCCTCCTCACACCCCCTCACAGCCCCTCACCCCCTCCTCACACCCCCTCACTGCCCCCTCACAGCCCCTCCTCACTGCCCCTCACTGCCCCTCACCCCCTCCTCACAGCCCCTCACCCCCTCCTCACACCGCCTCACCGGCCCCGCCCCCCCCTCACTGCCCCCCCCTCTCCTCACACCCCCTCACTGCCCCCCCTCACCCCCTCCTCACAGCCCCTCACCCCCTCCTCACAGCCCCTCACCCCCTCCTCACTACTCCCCCCCTCACCTCCTCACCCCCTCCTCCTCACTCCCCCCCTCACTGCCCCCTCCTCACACACTCCCGCACCCCCTCCCTCACTCCTCCCCCCTCACGCACCCCCTCCCTCACTACTCCTCACTCCCCCCCCCCCACTCTCACCCGGTGAGCTGTCAATCACCCGCCTGGTGCAGCGCGGCACGCGAGGCGCCCCCTCCCCCCCCCCTCCCCCCGGGCCCTGGCAGCCAGTCAGTCAGTCAGCGCGCGTGCGCGGCCGCAGCCCCACCCACCGGAGCTGTCAATCACACCGAGGCCCCGCCCCCACACACACACACACTCCGGAGTAAATCACTGCTGACAGGTGACATCTGTCGGCGCGTGAGGCAGCCGGTGTCAGCCCCCCCCCCCCACACCTCCCCCCCCACACCTCCCCCCCCACAGGAATGCCGAGCTGCAGCACGTGCCAAAGTGCTTTGCACACAAGGTCTCTCTCTCTGCGATTAACCCCTTCCATTACCGTTGCAGAACCGTCTGTAGGACCGTATCTGTGTTTGTGCATATTGCAAACTATACATATATATATATATGTGTGTGTGTGTATATATGTAACAAATACATATATGTGTGTGTGTAAATATATATGCACTTTTGTTTTGTACGGAAGGTCCCTTTCTCGCTCCTCTGCTGCAGATTAACTTTTAGCGTTACCATTGCAGAACCATCTACAGACCGTATCTGTGTGTGTGCATATTGCAAACTATATATATATGTGTGTGTGTATATATGTAACAAATATATATATGTGTGCGTGTAAATATATATGCACTTCTTTTTTTGCACAAAAGGTCCCTTTCTCTCTCTCTCTGCTGGGATTAACTCTTTGGGTTACTATTGCAGAACCCTCTATAGACTATATGTATTTATGCATATGCAAACATAAATATATATGCACTTCTTTTGCACACAAGGTCCTTTCTCTCCCTCTTCCCTGTGCTGCAATTAACCCTTTGGGTTACTGGTTGCAATTGCAAAAAAAAATCTGGATACTCCATGTAATATTATTATATATATGTATGTGTGCAAATACTGTATGCAAAAATGGCTTTCACGCTCTTGCTGCTTACATTGCCTGTGGCATTGCAATAATCCTTCCTTGCATTTGACACAGCGCCCGATCCCGTCTCCGAGACGTCTCAAAGCGCTTCGGGATATAAGAGAATGCACTGTAAGGCGTAGTGAGTGACGGTGCGTTTCCTGGGCAGGCCAATGGCGCACGGCAGACCAAATTATTGTCGTCTTATTTATTATTTATATTGCAATTAAATTATCAAATGCGTTTCTGTTTAATTGCAAACGATGGGAGTCGGGCCACGGGGTTTGGAGCAATCAATAAGGGGGTGCACAATCAATAGGGGGGGTGCACAATCAAGAGGGTGCACGATCAATAGGGGGGTGCACAATCAATAGGGGCACACAATCAAAAGGGGGTGCACAATAGGGGGTGCTAGGGGTTGAACAATCAATAGGGGGTGCACAATCAATGGGGGTTACACAATCAATAGGGGGGGTGCACAATCAATGGGGGTTGCACAGTCAATGGGGGGTTGCACAATCAATAGGGGTTGCACAATCAATAGGGGGGTGCACAATCAATAGGGGGTTGCACAATCAATAGGGGGTTGCACAATCAATAGGGGGTGCACAATCAATAGGGGGGTGCACAATCAATAGGGGGTTGCACAATCAATAGGGCGTTGCACAATCAATAGGGGGTTGCACAGTCAATAGGGGGTTGCACAGTCAATAGGGGGCTGCACAATCAATGGGGGGGTGCACGATCAATAGGGGTTGCACAATCAATAGGGGGCTGCACAATCAATAGGGGGTTGCACAATCAATAGGGGGTTGCACAGTCAATAGGGGGTTGCACAGTCAATAGGGGGCTGCACAATCAATAGGGGAGGTGCACGATCAATAGGGGGGGGGCACAATCAATAGGGGGTGCACAATCAATAGGGGGTTGCGCAATCAATGGGGGGGTGCACGATCAATAGGGGTTGCACAATCAATAGGGGGTTGCGCAATCAATAGGGGGGGTGCACAATCAATAGGGGGGGTGCACGATCAATAGAGGTTGCACAATCAATAGGGGGGGCACAATCAATAGGGGGGGTGCACAATCAATAGGGGGGGTGCACAATCAATAGGGGGTGCACAATCAATAGGGGGTGCACAATCAATAGGGGGGGTGCACAATCAATAGGGGGGTGCACAATCAATAGGGGGGGTGCACAATCAATAGGGGGTGCACAATCAATGGGGGGGTGCACACAATCCCTGCAAAGGGGCTGTTGTAGATTGCACGGTTGCAGCACGAGGAGGAGAGTGTGGGGGTGGGGGGGGGGGTGGGGTCTTGTTTGTGTGGGCTGCGTTCCCTTCAGAAAAGCCTGGGAAAACCCCGCCCCCTTCCCACCGCCCCCCCCCCCCCCACACACACACACACAGAGCAACTGGAGCCTGGACCGTCCCTCATTGCAACAACAGGGAGAGAGGGGGGGGAGGGGCTCGGGCGCGTCACGAGCCAAGCCCCGCCTACCCCCCCCTCTCTCTCTCGGCCCCGCCCCTAGACCACGCCCACCCACGCCCCCAGACCACGCCCCCGGACGCGAGCCGCCGCCGCGTCACTGCCCGGGGGGCGGGGCCACCTCGGGCCGCGCGCGCGTGTCGTGCGCCTCGCTGCAGCCATTGCACCGCCGCAGCCGCTGCACTGCTGCTGCTGCTGTGGTTTTTTTTTGCAACAGCGGCGATGCAAAATCAGAGCGCCCCCCCCGGACTTTAGACTTTGCATACGCCATGGTGCAACTTCGTCTTACTAATGCATCTTTATTTATTCTCGTACCCCCCCCCCACACACACACACCCCACCCCCCTAACCACCACCTCCTTTTTTCTCCCCCAACTTAATATTAATAATAATAATAATAATAATCCTTGCATTTGATATAGCGCTTTTCACGTCGGGAGGACGTCCCAAAGCGCTTCACAGAACACACTGTAAAGTGAATTGACTGTATATTTGTGGGCGAACGCGGCAGCCAATTGCGCACAGCAATGTCCCACAAACAGTCGTAGATTGAAAATGACCAATTTATTATTGTTTTTGGTTTTGGAGGGATTATTATTAGGCTCTGTGTGGAGTAAGGAAACTTGCCCAAGGTTTCACCCTCTGCCTGGAATTGAACTCAGGTCTCTCGCTTGCAAAGCGAGTGCTCTAACCACTGAGCCGCAGGACTCCGCACTTGTCTTGATTTGAATGCAATAATAATAATAAGAATAATCCTTAAAGATTAAAGAGGCGGCAGGAGAATGTTAATGCAAAAAAAAACACAAACCAGCTCAAAAGACATTTTATTGCCCAAATTTTCAATGCATACTTTTTTTTTGGGGGGGGGGGGGGGAAACGGTGGTGGGAGATGGGTCGTTGCGGAGAATTCTTTGCATTGGCTGGAGAGGTGGATTTGCGCTTTGAGACGTCTCAACGACGTGATCCGGCGCCGTATCGAACGCAAGGATTATTATTATTATTATTATTATTATTATTATTATTATTATTATTATTATTATTATTATTATTATTATTATTATTATTATTATTATTATTATTATATCCAGGAGAGAGAGTATCGTCTGTTCCTCGAACAGCAATTCGCTTCCAGAAAATGGCATATTAAGAGATAACAATGATAATAATAATAATCCTCGGGTTGGATAATAGCGCCTCTCGTCGCCTCTTCGAGACGGCTCGAAGCTCTTCACGAGGCCGGTAGACCCGGGCGCAACGTCGAAGCCGGTGGATTCGGAGCTGGAGGGAGTTTGACGGCGTCCTTCCCGAGTCCATTTGAAATAAAACACGAAACGATCGGTCACTTCGGTCCACGACTGTCTTGCGGGGGGGGGGGGGGGGGGGGGGTAACGCTGCTGCGCGCGAGTCGTCTGCCGCCTTTCGCCCACAAAACACCCGGGCAGGACGCGTTCTGCGAAGCGCTTTGAGCTGTCTCGGAGACTTAATAAAGTTGGGACTTAATAAGGCGCTGTGTCAAATGCAAGGATTAGGATTAGGATTATTATCATTATATGATGATAATATCAATCAGATTGCAAAGCAGAAGGAGCGAATGACCGTTTTTTTTTGGGGGGGGGTGCGGGGGGGTGGGGGCGTGGGACTTCCCACCTCTTTTCAGATAGTGCCCGGGAACCTCCGACCAAATTTAGTCTCCCCCACCCCCCCCCCCCGCATTGGGAGGGTCAGCGTAGACTGCGTGAGCTCAAACGCCCGACGTGGGGCTTGAACCCAAAAGCCTTTCTGACTCGAGGAGCCAAGAGGGGCGCTGCTGACTGAACCCCAACGAAGGTCCCACCGAGATTTGAACTCGGATCTCTGGATTCAACGTCCAGAGTGCTGACCGTTGCACCATTGGAACCACGGCTTCAGCCGCGGAGGCTGCACTCACACGGCTCCTCTGTGACCGTCTGTATCATCCGGAAGCCCTTGCGATGGAATTTTCTTACGTAACGCATCTCACAAGAGGCAGAGAGCAGGGAAGAGGTCCGCGGAGAGGCCAAGGGGTGGCCTTGGGCTCCTGCAGAGGGCAGTATCGAACAGAACAACTCCGTCCCTCCGCCCAACCCGTGATGACCGAAGCCGTGAAAAGCGCTTCGGGGTTTCGGACAGCTCTGCGCGAGTCGTTATAACCTGCACGGTTTGCGATGAAAATTTGCCACTTGTCCAACGCCCTCGGACGCTACCCCACGTGTCTCCGGTTTTGAGGCTGGTTCAGGCTGAGGCTCGGCTGTAACGTTCAGGTCCCGTCCTCCCCGCTGTCAATATAATAGTAATAATAATAATAATAATCCTGGCATTTGATGCCGTGCCTTATCACGTCTTCGAGACGTCTCAAAGCGCTTCACGGGATAGTGAATTGACTGTATATTTTGTGGGCGAAAGACGGCAGACAATTGCGCACAGCAGCGTCCCCCACACAAACAGCCGTGGATTGAGTGACCAATTTTATTATTATCTTTTTTTGAAGGAATTATTACCCCCAGAAAAGTGACCCACCAATCGACTAACAACCGGGTTTCTACTTACCGCAGGTAAACGGAGGCGCGTGGGGTACGGAAACTTGCCCAACGTTTCACCCTGACCCCGGGAATCGAACCCAGGTCCTCTCGCTTGCGGGGCCACGTGCCCTAACCGCTGAGCTACGGGACTCAAAGAAGCAGCCAACACGCGCTGTGAAGGCCGACACATGAACTTTCACCACTTGGCCAGGAACTTGGAGGGCATCCGGGCAACCACATCTCATTTAGAAGACAAAATAGTCAAACACCCTTCAGGAGAGGAGAGGAGAGGAGAGGAGAGGAGAGGAGAGGAGAGGAGAGGAGAGGAGAGAGGAGAGGAGAGGAGAGGAGAGGAGAGCTTGGGGCGAGGAAAAGGATTTCTCTGTCAGAAACATAATGTGATCTTTCATTGACTTAAAGATGGAATTTCATCTTCTCTTAACCCAATTTTTCAAATTCCTCTGTCTGGAGCCAAGCCTGTGAGTGTTCCCCCCCACCGTCCCCCCACCCCCGTCCCCCCCACCACCACCGCCACCCCTGCCTCTCAGTGTGAAGTCCCCCCCAAGGCCCTCAGCGCTCCCCCCAAAACTCTACCTGGCGTAGGTCAGCTACCTAACTCCAGACCATTTAGCTCGAGGTCCCCATCTGCCTGTCCTGCTCGTAGCCTCGGAGACGTACAAAAAACAATCATGAGCCAATTGGTATTTGATTTGATCTCTGACCCGGGATTGCATGGCGTTGTGTGTGTCTCATAATGCACTCATCAATGGCTGTTAATCATAAGCCTGGCTTTCGCCTACTCTTTGAGGTCTCAAATCCAGAGATAACTAGAAAAGACGGCGGTTGAGTGGACCGTATCACCCGGCTGGCTCTGTCCGCAGGTCGGCCATTGTCCCACCTTGTTTTCTCTTCATTTAGTCCCGGGCTCTGAGCTGAGATAATGTTTGCAGAGCACACTTCAGCTCCGCCAGCTGTGTGCCTTCGCACTGACTGTCCTGTTTACCTCCGGTATTTGATTCAATCCCAGTAAATCTATCCGGGCTGATCCCACCCGGTCCAGTCCGCAGCTTCGACTCGGATCAGACAGGAGCTCGCAATTGATGAAGACTTGCTACCGCCAAAGTCAGAGACTAAAGAGATTGAGGACTGACTGAGCCTAATGCCTCCTATAAACAACAGCCTCAGCATTTCTGAGCTTTGCAATGAAAGGCGAGGCAGCGGAGACCTGGGTTAGCAATAATAATAATTCTTGCATTTGACGCAGTGCCTTATCATGGCATCGAGACGTCTCAAAGCGCTTCACAGGGTGTTACTGGGCAGCGTAGTGACTGCATATTGTACATTTGTACCTACTCCCAAGAACTGTCACTCACTCGACACTGCTCCCTGCTCCAAATCCTCTGAGTGTTTTTCATCAGTAGCTCATCGGTTAGATCGCTCGCCTCGCAAGTGAGAGGTCCCGGGATAAAAAAAACACACTACTAATAATAATTTGGTCACTCAATCCACGAGTCTTCCTGGGGACGTCGCTGTGTGCAATTGGCTGCCGCGTTTCGCCCACAAAACACACGCAGTAAATTCACGTTGCAGTATATCCAGCGAAGCGCTTTGAGACGTCTCAATGACGTGGTAAGGCGCTGTAGCAATGGCAAGGATTATTATTATTAGTAGTATTATTATCATCATCACCGGGTGGAAATGTGGTGGTGAAGATTTCTCGTTCCATTGGTTGAATAAAGAGGGAAGAAGCTTGTGCTCGGATGTTACTCGTTCCAGCTCATCCGTCTTAGATTGGTAATAGATTTAAGCAGTGGAGAGGGTTGCAATGTACAGTCTGCAGAAAAATTGCGTCAATTATATCTGTATTGGGGAGTCCCTCGCAAAGGAAATCGCGTCGTAGCGCTTATCTGATCATCGCGACCTCAACACGTGGGGAATTAGGTTAAAGTGAAAGCAAGGTTGGGTTTGGTGGGTGTTTTTTCTCGACAGAACCTCGCCCTCCTGTTCTGTTCCGACGCTCTCTCTCCCCGCTTCCGACCCATTCGAAAGCCGGTGGATGGAATAAAAATATTTTTGCCTGTCTGGCTTCAGTGAATTAACGGTTGCCGAGCGCACATTGAAGGGCTGCCGCGTTTTCCCGCCCGCAAAATACACGGTTAAGTCGCTTGAGGCCCTTTGAGACGTGATAAGGCGCTATGTCAAACGCAAGTATTATTATTGTTATCAAGAGTCGTTTCAATAATAATTGCGTCTGATATAGCGCCTCATTACGTTGTCGAGACGTCTCAAAGCCTCTTTGGAGAGAAGTTAACGCAGTTTATAACAGCAAGCTGATGTGATGCCAACATGTAATGGATGAAGCCATTTTAGACAACGCATTATCATAAAATAAACCCAAGATGATAAAACACATCTCCCCCCTCTCCCCTCCCCTCCCCACCCTCCCCCGAACCACCGACCGAGATAAGAGCATATAAATCACTTTCATAAGAAACAGGGAATCTGAACAACACAGAGAATGCAACACAACAACAACAACAACTTGCATTTATATGGCACCCCTCGCGCAGGGTAGCGTCTCGGGGTTTCTCCTGGTGCCCAGGCCAAAAAGCCCCCAATTAAAATTGGGCGTGCGCTCCATTGGGCTGTTCGCGGGGCATTGCCGCGTGCACATGGGCTGCCGGGTTTGCCCACGAATACACAGTCACTGCGCTTTACGGTGTAGTAAAGCCGCGAAGCGCTTTTGAGGCTTTGCAGGCGGAAGCCGTGCCTTGTCAATGACCGCTCCTGCTCAGCAAGGTTAGGGTTAAACTGTTTCTCTCTCTCGCACTCTCTCTCTCTCTCTCTCTCTCTCGCGCTCTCTGGTCCTCTCTGTCTTCTGTTTGCTTAATCTCATTAAAGTATCTGTTCCCATTGTACCCGACCAGAACTTGCATCAATCCTTTCTTTCTTTCTTTCTTTCTCTCTCTTATTCTCTCTCTCTCTCTCTCTCTTTCTCTCTCTTTCTCTCTCACTTCTATTTTTTTTGTGCGCGCGCGTGTGCTTTTTTGTGTAAGAAAAAGGTTAGTTGTCATTTTGCCATCTGTTCACCAGCAAACCCGGATACAATGCGTATCGCTGAACCCAAGCACTGACTGCCCTCCCAAACCCAAACCCCCCACACCCCCCCCACCCCTCCCATTGCATCTCCCCGTTCACCCTTTTCATGCTGCTCGCGGATGAAGTTTGCGTTAATCGGATTAATCCCGGATCCAGAAGTTGGCGGTTCTAATTCTCTTAGACACAGCGAGGAGAGAGCGCGAGAGATCGAGAGAGAGAGAGAGAGAGAAATACGCTCACTCTGTGACATTTCCACCCCCCCCCCCTCCCCACCCCACCCACCCCGAAACTTTCTTTTTCTGTCCACTTTTTTTTTTGGGTCGTACGTCATTGGGAGAGGGGGGAAGGAAAAGACAGACAAAAACACACACACACACACACACACACGCACGAACCACCTCCACTCCCCCTCGAAGAAAAAATATTTTGTAAAAAAGCCGTTTCAAATGAACCCTTTGAACGGAACGCACTCCAAACCGATTGGAGGGCAATTTCTAAATGGGTCAATACGCTGAAATGCACCCGTCGGAAAGCTTTCAAGTGGCTCAGTGATGCACTGACTTTCACTGCGCATCTTAAGGTGTTTATTTTTTAGAAAAGTTGTTTTCTTTTAATGATTTTATCTCCAGTTCAGTCCAGTTAGAGGCTACAGTCATTTTAAGTACAGATGCAAGTTTAGCTGCTGCTAAAAAAAAACAAATTTTGATTTACTATTCATTATTTCTGATGGCTGTGAAATTCTCCTGTCGATGAAATACGCCTCCGCCCCCCAAAAAAAAACATCTATAAAGATGAAATTCCCAGAGGAGAACTCAACAGGTCAAATGTTTACAATTTTTTTTCCCCAAAAAGGTAGAGATTTCATTAAATATTGGGCGAAAGTGCAGATGTGATTTTTTTTTCTGGATGGATTAATTGTGACCTGGTCATTGCTATCAAACCGTGTGACACATCCACGCACAAATGCGAGGATTATTATTATTATTAACATATATATTCACATGTACATACATACAAACACGCAAACACATGTACTCATACATACACACATACCTACATACGCGCACCCACACCTTCCTACATACTTATACATCATCATAATAATAATAATAATAATCCTCGCATTTGGTATAGCGCCTTAGCTATATGTTATTATGTTCTTATGTTGTAAGAACAATCATTTCGGGGGAGGATGTTATTGGAAAGGATGCGTTCGTAACATCTTGTTGTGGGTCGGCTGGTGTCTGGGTCCAGTGACAAAA